CACAGAAGAGACTTGTCAGGACACTTTTGACCACAAAAATACTGGATTGCTTATTGCAGATAATAGAATGAGGTGGGGGTGAGTGCTTTCCTCCTCCCTTAACCTGATCACAGAGAAACACTATCCTTTTTCTTCTGGAGATGACTACATTTTAGTGCTGTTCTTCTGTATTGTAACTGATATTTTTCAGGAATAAGCCTTCTCCTCTGTACATGTAAGTTCACAAGTGCCTTGAGGCTAGTCTTTAAATCCAAATAGTCTTGCTAGGTACAGACATTGTCTACCTTCTGTACTGGAAAAAAAATGGCTGGAATAAATAATAAAGTCACTCTATCTGTGTTGTTATAAGGGGCCATCGAAAAGACTGTCTTTTATCAGGTTGTTGAGCCTGATGAAAGAGCTGTGGTGGTGTTCAACAGACAGCACAGCCGTGCTGTGGCTCCCCTATGCAAGAGCTCTGGGACTGTCCTGGTAGAGCTGAGCCACACTGTCACTCATGCTTTGTTTGACAGTAAATGAGAGCACATACAGCTTTGACAAGTATATAATGCTTACATCTTATCTCATTTCCACATTGTGGTGCTTAGATGATGCACAAAACACTTTGTTCACTTTTGATTAGTGTTTCTACAAACTAACTTTTTGCTACTGCATATGTAAGAAAAGCATCATACTTCTGGAAACAGACATTGATCATATGGCTTGTAGGAAATTGCTGCTTGGCCAAACTGAAATGCATGAATGAATTGGCAGTCAGATGCTCAGAAAGCAAAAATTACATTGTATGAGCTGGGTGACTTTTCCTGCAGCATGAACAATGGATTATCTTGAGGAACATGAGCAAATTCTAGGAGGAAATGTATTTACTTGACCACTGGCCAAATAATTTTAATACCAAGTACATTTGTAAAAGATCAAAGTCTATTTGAGGATACCTAAAATGGGCTCGTGTGATGAAGCACGTGGCCAGAGAAAAAACGTTCTCTGCTCTATGCTCCAAAATTATACAGGCTTCCAAATGACTTCCATTCCCTTGCAAACATTTTTAGTTCTTTGATTATTTGTGTACAGATGTGCAGTCAACATGAAGTATCTATGTGAACCTGCGTATCCCAGGGCTGCCATTACCCAGACACCTTTCCACTTGTATGCAGAAGTTAAATTTAAGCCTAAAATGGCCTTGCCTGTGAAATAATTTCCTTCAAAAATTACTGTGCTGAGCAACAGTCATTCTATTATTTGACAGCATGTAGAGGATTTGTGAGGCAAAAAACAGGCTGCTGTTAATAGAACCTGGAAGCTGAGGGTCTCCCCAGCGCAAGGAAGATGTGAACATACTGGAGCAAGCCCAGTGAGGGCCACAAAGGTGATGAAGGGCTGGAGCATGTGTCACATGAGGAGAGGCTGAGAGAGGTGGGCTGTTCAGCCTGGAGAAGAGAAGGCTCAGAACTGATGGACATGGGTAGAGCAGTTGATGTCATCTACCTGGACTTGTGCAAAGCGTTCGACACTGTCCCACACGACATCCTTGTCTCTAAAGTGGAGAGACATCAATTTGATGGATGGACCACTCAGTGGATAAAGAACTGGCTGGATGGCCGCACACAAAGAGTTGTGGTCAATGGCTCAATGTCCGGCTGGGGACCAGTAACGAGTGGTGTCCCTCAGGGATCGGTGTTGGGACCAGTCTTGTTCAACATCTTCGTTGTTGACACGGACAGTGGGATTGAGTGCACCCTCAGCAAGTTTGGTGATGACACCAAGCAGCCCTGTGGAGAAGGACTTGGGGGTGTTGGTTGATGAGAGAATGAACATGAGCTGGCTTCAGTGTGCGCTCGCAGCCCAGAAAGCCAACCGTATCCTGGGCTGCATCAAAAGGAGCGTGACCAGCAGGTCGAAGGAGGTGATCCTGCCCCTCTACTCTGCTCTTGTGAGACTTCACCTGCAGTATTGTGTGCAGTTCTGGTGTCCTCAACATAAAAAGGACATGGAACTGTTGGAACAAGTCCAGAGGAGGGCCACAAGGATGATCAGGGGACTGGAGCACCTCCCGTATGAAGACAGGCTGAGGAAGTTGGGGCTGTTCAGCCTGGAGAAGAGAAGGCTGCGTGGAGACCTCATAGCAGCCTTCCAGTATCTGAAGGGGGCCTATAGGGATGCTGGGGAGGGACTCTTTATTAGGGACTGTATTCACAGGACAAGGGGTAACGGGTTAAAACTTAAACAGGGGAAGTTTAGATTGGATATAAGGAGGAAATTCTTTCCTGTTAGGGTGGTGAGCCACTGGAATAGGTTGCCCAGGGAGGCTTTGAATGCTCCATCCCCAACAGTGTTCAAGACCAGGTTGGACAAGGCCTTGGGTGAGATGGTTTAGTGTGAGGTGACCCTGCCCATGGCAGGGGGACTGGAACTAGATGATCTTAAGGTCCTTTCCAACCCTAACTATTCTATGATTCTATGATTCTGTGATTCTATGATCTTACCAATCTTACCAATGTGTTTAAATCCTGATGGATGGAGAAAGAGTAAAGAGGATGGAGCTGGGCTCTTCCCAGTGGTGCCCAGTGACAGAACCAGAGACAATGGCCACAAATAGAAAAACAGAAAATTCTGCTTAAACATAAGGAAATCACTTTTTTTTTAGGGCAAGGGTGGTTGAACACTGGAACAGATTGCCCACAGAGCTTGTGGAGTATCCATCCTTCGAGTTACTCAGAGCCCAGCTGGATCCTATGTGATCTGCTCTGGGTGACCCTGCCTGAGCAGGGCTCGGGTTCGTTGCTCTCTAGAGGTTCCTCCTGCTGGTACGACAGCATCCTTGCCATACTTAAAGGCCTGGTAGAAAGTAGAAAGCATTCTTGCAGTGTTCAGAATTTCATTGCTTAGTTTCCTTCTCTTCTTCTACTTCATCCTTCTCATACCCTTAACTTAGTCTGATGAGTCTTTCTGACCTCTGAATGCAGTTTTATGAGCCAGCTGTCTGAGCTTCACTATGGCTGGACAGGATTATGCAGGATTGTATGCAATGTTTTTAATTGAGCTAAAAGAATCAGAAATGCTGTAGTGGGACTGAGCTGGACAATGCTCACTTTGGAGTCACTTTGCGTCAGGCTACCACAGGGAATGCCTGAGCAGTCTCCTACTGCCACGTGCCTGCAAACAGAGCATACACAGGCTTCAATTCTTGCTAACCATTTGTTTTCACAACTAATGATATTAAACATGAACAAAACCCTCACACCTTCCTTTTCAATCATTACTGACTTGTGACTTTCAGCCCACACAGTTGCTCCAGCTTTCTCCTTGTCCCAGAGCACCCACAAAGAGGGAGGTAATTCCTCGTCTTCCAGCAAGGAATACTTCATTGTGGTAAGGCCTACCCTGGTGCCACAGACATCTCCTTTTTAGAGCAGCTCTTGGTCTTCTATCTTAAAACCAAAGGAAGATGAATAATGTACAAACCCAGCATGCTAAAACTGATCAACTCAATGCAATGAATTTTGAGCCTCACCTCTTAAATTCCAGAGGAAGAAAAAAAAAGTGAGGGTTGTGGTGTTTCTAGTTGTACACAAATATATACATAGGTGCAGTTTACAGTTCAGCTGTAATAGCTTGCCACCTTTTGTGTGACTACAAGGGTAGCATATTGAGGTAGAAAGCAGACATTCATAAAGATGTCAGCAAGCACAGTCAATCCTCAGGGTCCAGGCAGGAGAGGATGAACCGCTGTCCCTGCAGCCCTTGGCCAGGGGTCTGTCACTGATGAGACAGCTCTTGGCCTGGGAGAACACTGCAGCCTTTCCTGCACGCCCACGGGATGATAACTGCTTTCTTGGATGGGAAAAGAGAGAATTTTCATTATATCTGCTACCTGGGCAGGCAGCCTGCTGCCTGCTGAAACCCAACATATGCGACTGGCTCAGCCTCACAAGAGGCACAGAGAGAGGAAATCCAGGGTAAGGCATAACTCATACTACAAGCAGACAACAAAAAAAAAAGAGAAAAAGATTACTTAGGTGCAAACTCCTGCTAGGTATAAGACAGATGGTTTCCCAGGCCCAGAGCCAAGAGCGTTTTGAATATTGGCCAGCAATTACATGAAATCTTTCTTATTTATTTATTTACTCAGTCATCAATTAAGTCAGAAATAAGTCTGACAGTGTTCAAATTCAGCTTGTTCCAGCCTTATTGTCTCACCTGCTGGCGGATCCATTTCCCTTCTGATCTTTGCTTTCAGGGTGGTGAGGTTTATAAACTGCTGTATCAAATTGTGATGAGGCTGCTGACGTTTTCACTCCGTGTCAGCGCTCCCAAGAGCTGCCGGCAGTAAACCTGCTTGGGCAGGTACGGCACGAGCCAGCCTCGCTCCTCCTGCCCCTCCACATCAGCGGCTCCTCTGGAAGGTGATGTCATGGTGATTGCAATGACGTCATCCATATGCGGGGTGGGGGGAACAGTCCTGCACATCTCAGACTAGGGAGGGGGGAAAGGGAAACCAAAATCCCTGTGCAAGGCAGGGTAGGTGCTGGCTTCCCATGCAGCACAGGCTGGAGTCTACCTGCTGCAGAGATGGTGCCCCCTCCTCAGCACAGCCGCTTCATTTACCCCAACGGAGGATGAAGATCTCTGCTACGTGGAGGTTGTGACTGCATTGGAGGTTGTGAAGGTTGTGACTGCATTTCTACAACTTTATAGCACCAGACAGCAGTACAGTGCTTAGAGCAGTAACAGAGTATGAGACCGGACTGCTTTGTGTGATGGGGTCTCCCACCCACGGGAAAGGCAGCGCTGAGGACTGTCACAGCCAATCTAACCTCACCTGAGATACTGAGTAAAAAACAGGTGACATCAAGCAAACACAAGACAGAGGAATAACCTACAGGTGCACCAAATTCTGTGATAATGAGACCATGGGAGAAGATGTCATGGCCATTGGGCAAGGGGCCAGTGACACATAAGGTACACACTGCAAGGCTTTGAGACCTTCTATCTCCGCTCCCCTCAGCCATCAACTACAGCTGAACCAGGCAGGGAAGGGGACTGGAAGCACCTCAGGCACTGATGGGATGTGACAGACATGGTCTGGGAAAAAATCCAATGCATTAGGTAAGCCTTTATCTCAGGACTGGCTCTGAGATACCAGCAAATGAGAAGAGTTTGTATCACATAATGACTTTTAAAACCAAAAGTGGTGGGGTTCTGTTGTTTTGGGTTTTTTTAAGTAAGAAGGGTCTGATTATGTGGCCCAGCTGGGTTTTTTTTTTAAATCCTCTCTCCCAGTTTCGTGAGCCAACTGCTCAAGGAGTGAATTAAGGTAAGTTAGAGTATTAAATCTGTTAGTTCACAAGGATTTAATTTTCTGTCTGTTTAACCTAGTGAAAGTTCTTTGATAACACTCTGAAGGTTTTATTTAAGAGAAGAAGTGATTGCAGCAGTTAGAAGCACCAGACAAGGTGTCGGGGCTTATGAATTAGATCATAAATGGTAAAGCAATGAAGCTCCATTGATTTCCATGAAGCTAAAGTCATTTTACACCACCTGAGCATCTAGTCTTTAGGCTTCAATTCACTTCTACTGCCAAACCACTGCTGTGATAATGTCCTTCAGTGGAGGACATCCATTAAAGAAAAAAACAACACGATTTTTCATCCCTTTCTGCTTTTCCAAAGATAATTACAACTAGATAGTCTCAAGAAAGGTTGTCTTTGCTTTTCATTTTGTACATGGACATTATTCTGCAGTTTGAGGCACAAGATATAATCACAGTTTGCATCTCTTTAGATACCACTGCTAGTCATCCTGAAACACAGACACCGAGGGAATTCAGCCCCTTGAGCATCATCATGCAGACTTGCACGTGTCCTGCCTTCCTTGGCTGTCTCTTCCAGGGGAGGTATAGGAGGGTTCCCTGTTTACAGACCAGCTGTCTGGCGCCCCAAGTCCAGCTCTCCATACTCGTGTGCATTTCATGGTCTCTGATAAGGAGGGAGAGGCAGACATCTCTTGCTCACTGAGCAGATAAAATAACCGAAATGCTAGAAAAGCGAGTCACCAAAGCCCGCAGCCCCAGCTGGAGCACAGGAACCAATGGGGGAAGCTGCAGAGGGAAGGGCTTTGTGCCACTGTAGAGAAGACCATAGCCCTTTAGAAAAGCTGCACAGAGAATGTATTAATGCTTTATGAGTCCCGTCTGAAGGTCAGACCACATGTAAGTGTCTCTCTGGGGATTTACTTCATCATTTACTGTCAAGAAACTCCCAGATTTGCAGCCTATAGGTGATCCATTTTTGCTCTTGGACACATTTCACCACAAGTCCCAGTGTCAGAGCAGAGCCAGGACCAGCTGGTCTCACTCCTGTGGGCCTGGCATTACTGTGCTAGTTCATGACTAGTTGCAAGCCTTTTTTAGGGCCTGTTCTTCAGAGTAGGGAGAAAGCTGTAGATCTATTTCTTGCTTTTAAGTATACAGTGCATAGGAAACAACCTGTTATGGACTGAGTGGGCCTTAGGAGAATGCTCATGATCTCAGAGTGAAAGCCTTTCTTCTGTCTAATCCACAATCCTCTTGAAGTTTAATAAATTTCCTTTTCTAGGTAACAAGCTTCACTTCGGAAAGGGTAGCACATTGCATAGCAAGGACCTGAAAATCCCAGCGTGGTGCAAACAGACCTCAGAGCCAGCAGATGAGCCACACCAATCACAGTACATTCAGTCAGTGTTAACAATCTTTCCAGTCCACTGCCCGTGCAATAAACCTGGGGTGAGATGAGACTCTGCGGAGTCCCATACTCTTTCCAAGTAACTCAGACTCATACTTCAAAAGCAGTGATCCTGCTGGCCAGAGATGAGGCAGGCTGCCAGCAGTGTGCAGGGAAGGTTTTGCTGATCATTCCCTGAAGCAGGAGCAATAACTTCAGTCATTAGGGCTGCCTTCAGCAGCACAGAATTCGTATTGTTTTTAAAGACTGTTTGTGGCTGTTAGCAACCCAGCTGCAAGTAAGCAAATTTGGTTATTAAAAGTTTGCCTGAAAGAATATGCCTTGAAACTACATGAAACTGCATTATTGTCCATTTATTTAGTTCTCAGACCTGCTGTGTAATGCCTGCAGAGGATGCTGCATTCTTAGGGTGGCAGCCCTGGAGCAACAGTGGGGCTCCAATGCTGCCCCAGCCCTCCTCACCATCATGCTGTGGATAACATTCTCTCCACTGTTATCCACTGTTGAGTCTCTTGACTCAACTCAGCGTTCCCAGCTACAGCCTGGAAATGCAAATGGCAACAGGATCATGATCCTTATCGACAGAGAGGTTGTTGACAGAATAGTCAGAGTATCGATCTGTAAGGCAGTTCCAGGACCAAATCAAGCAATGGCATCAGGGATGCCTTCACAAAATGCTGCATTTTGCAGCAAATAGTCTGGCACTTAGTCCAAAGTTCACCCAATACAGAGGGAAAAGCTCTGCATTTCACAGGATTGGGTTAGATTCCCCACCCTTAATAAGAAATAATGTTCTCTCGACTTACTTTTCTTTACATTATTTTCAAAAAAGACACAAACAGCCAGTAAAAGAACTGTTACTTACACCTACAAGATAAGTTCCCACAAATCCTTATCCTGTTGCATTCCAGGACATCTGTGCATATTAAGCAAAAGGAACCATTATCTGCTACAAAGCAGGTGTTTTAGCTGTTCCGGGATCTGCAAATTGGAATCTTGCTGAAAACCAATTCAATGGAAAGATCTTTAATTAAACACGCAAACTGATTTGTTTTGGTTGATCAGCAGTGATAAAAATAGAAAGACATGCTTTGGAGTAATTGAAGAAACATTTGACTGAAATAAAATGTTGCCTACAAATGCCTTTGGCATGAGTATTATTTTGACTTCAGCTGACACTGATCCGGACTGGTTTTCTAGCACTGGGCTCCTTGGCTGGCTGGTTGGTTGCTCTCCTGTTGCAGACTACTGAAGCCACGTGCTTCTACTTTGAGGGTAAACACCTGACTTCAGGATATGGCACTTAAACTGGTGCCACAGTTTTTCAGCTGCACCTACCTGCACATCTTGTTCAAATCCTTTTCAGTGAGCAATTCAGTGCTCTGAAAAAATGCACAGTAGGGAAAATCATGGCTCTTAGTTCCTGTAGTTCCTTCTCATTTATTCCTTCCCTGAACTGCTCACAAGCTGTAAAGATCCAGATAAATGAAGAAGTATCCTCCTCTAAAAAGAGTTTTGTAGTTTTACACTGTAAAAAAGAAATGTGACAGTATAGAGTGGTTCTTCATCTTCGCAAAGTAAAGCATGACTTCTTTGCCCAGTACTTCTTCCACTAAACTGAGGGGTAACTCACGGTGTTTAGTATGAGATAGAAATTAATGAATATCCTAAGAAAATGTAGATTAGGCAACATCCAGAAAGCTAGTATCTGGGCTATCGGGGTGAAAAGCTTACAGTGAGAATCAAAACAAAGGGGCTGAATCATAGGGCCCATTTTATTATAGTAGTTTGTATGATTTTGTATGCATTGGAATTACACCAAGGACTTGTTTTTAAAATAACTTGAAAAGCTGTACAGAAGAAATAACAATCCCCCTGTTTTTGCATGTGTTACAGCTCTCAAGGGACACCATTGTATGGAGTAAATGCCTAAGCAATCACTGTTGCAGTGGGAGACGGAGCAACAGAGCTGGTGCACAGGCTGAGTATGGAACAGGAAAATAAGACTGACCTCCAGGGTTGTCCTCCTGCTTGTGTCACTATGACCCCACTACAGGTTTATAGTCTGCCAGATTTTCTGTAGTAATTAGCATCCTTGAGGTATGAATCTTTTAGGATTCTTGACTGCATCTGAAATTTTGCTTCTCAGAACTTGATGGTTTCAGAAGTGATGAGCGCTCTCAGCTTTAGCTAAAGTCAATAAATGTCAGGATATCTTGCAGCAGGTATGTCCAAACAGCTATTTTAAAATGGTAAATCCCTGTGAGGCAAGATGCAGGCCACATTTACTTCTGTGTAGTTGGAGAAGGCCATTCCCATCACCAGCTTCCAGCAAGGATTTCCTTTCATTAACTATCTCAGGACAGGTACAAGCCTGCTTTATTGCCATTAGTATTTTACATGCAGGTGTACAGCTTGAGGACACTATGCAAAGTAATAATATTTTCTATTTTTGTTATCCAATAAAAACAGTCTAAAAGTCAGGACATTACATTTGTACGTTTACAAGGTTTTGTACATTTACGACCCTGGGATCACGACTGTATGCTGTGAAAGAGGAAAATATTGTCATAACCACTGAGAGCAAAGGGTGATCTCTCTTTTCACATCACCTATATTTTGCTAATTGTGCTGTCAAGTAAATAATTTATATCTAGAACCATTGTGCAGTTCATGTAGTCTCTGAATGAAATGTAAGCTCATGCTAGACACCTATACTAAGGGAATAGAAATAATTGGTGAATCTTCTAGTTGAAGAAGAAAAGCTGCAGAAAGATGCAGACTGTGCCAACAAATTCTCTGCCTGTATGAATGCAAGCACTTCAATCTGCATGACAAAGACTCCCCTCCCCTTCCAAACTGCTACTTTTTTCTGCTTTGTGAAACCAGGAGGAATAACATGGCATTTGCTATTCATTCCATGCAGTCTCCATGCTGCAATGTGGAAAAAGAGGCTGAACCCATGCAGGCAGTGCCACGAGTACATCTTGCAAGACACAGAACATTAAATTCTCATCAAAATATGTGCATTCACTACCTTGTCACTCTGCAGAGCAGGACTGCACTCTGTGTTTCCTTTGTATGGCATTCTGTCCCTTCACTACACCAGAGATTTTGCAAGCCTGATTCTAAAACACGTTGCAGAGGTTCGATTAGTCATTCAGTATAAAATTCAGTATGGTAATAAGACATCCCTTAGATACAACTGCCGTTGTTGACATAGCAGAAATGGTGCAGAAACAAAGCAAGGAGTGTGAATCACCAAAATCTACAGAAAAGCGAGTGTCCAGCCTGAAACACGCATTGCCTCTTGATACTGACTTTTGTGGGGAGAACCAGTGTGACCCACAGGGTAGGAAATTCCAACAAGCGATCTACGGGCTGGTGATCCAGACATGAGACCCTCCCTGAGGCTGGTGCTAGTGATGGGAAGGAGCAGCACACAAACCCACCAGAGCCCCAGCTTTCCCAAATGCTCTGGCAGGGGCCATCTTAACCGGGTGGATTTCTTTAATTGAGTGGTATGTGTCACTTCTGACTCATGTGCACTCTTGCTCCACAGACACAGCAATTCAGCTGCCCAGTCTGCTTGCTGTAAACTTGAACCAGACTGGAAAACCTCAGGCAGTCGAGCACCAAGCTCTGCCCTGAGCTGCATGTAAAAGCTAAATTAACTCTAGTGAAGACGAAGTTTTACACAGACTAAATATGCAGACATTGGCCCTTTTTTTACCTTTACCACTGACTTCTCGCATTTCATTCTAGCCAAATCTCTGCCATGTTTTTGGCAGGATCCTCGTTCTCCAATCAGACAGAACTCCTGATAAAGGCAAAGTGGATTTTGCTCAGAGCAAGATCCTGCTGAAGACAAGGAGGGATTTGTTCAGAACAGGACTTTTTTGTTTGTTTTGTTTTAATTTTATTTTGATCAAGTGGTAACTGGTAGAAGAAGAAAACAACAGATTTAAGGACCAATTTTTAAAAACATCTACTCACCCCGCAGATCTGTTTCCAAAAAACACTGGAGATGTTGAACTACAACAATTAGCCACCTACTTGCTTGTTGATGGTTCAGTAGGTTGGGACTGAAGAAACTTCCTATCATGGGCAACAGAGACACTGCGCCAGATTCTGATCTCAACTGCACGTGATGTAATTTTCCTTATGTTCATATTTCACTAGAATAACTGAGATAGAAACATCTTCACCCTTCCCATCTTTTTGCCTTTGGAGTTGAAGCAAAGGGAAGCTTTCCTTCAAAATGTAGGAACAGTGAAATGATTAACAAAAGGTAAACAGGGCAGTTTCAGGCTGAAAAATGTATGATTCATAGCAACTTGTTCAGACATACTCCTAAGTCATATACATTATGGCAATTTAATTATGTAATAGAAGGGATCATGTACTGTTGCATGCCCACAGTTCCTGCTCATCTGACTAAATGCAGATGGGCTTGTGCTACACAGAAAGTAACCCACAAAAGAGAGGAAGAGACAGAAAACTGGTGTCGGAATTTAAGAAAAAGGCACATAGCAAAATTAATACCCAAATGGCAAGTTTTTCATACCACAAAGTATTCATTTGTTCAACTGTAGCAGAAGGTTGGGCAGAAGAGCGTCCCCGCAACAAGCCAAGGCAATCCCAGCGTAGGATTAATGCCATTAACTGGAAGGGAAATGTCACAGCATGCATAAGAAATCTGAAGACTTCAGACAAGCAAGTACCACTGGTCTCAAGTGAATGTGGGTGTTTCTATTATAAAGCTAGATGTGGAATTACACAGCCTTTCCAGTACGTTTCTCCATTTAAATGAGAGGTTTGAAGGTTAGTGACTGTTGCTTCAGCTTCTTTCGTGTTCTGATAAAACCTAGCAGATGATTTCTGAACAGTTTGGGGAGGGTGCAGGTATTTAGGTGTTCTTGTAGACCATTCACACCCCATGATGGCATCTTCCATGAGCCCATGACACTACCTACTTCATTCAAACATGAAGCATCTTCAAAAACCTCCTGCTTTGTTCATGCGCTGGAAGACTTATGTCTACAGGAACGC